ATATCACATGGTTACCACTCCTTTATTTCTCTCCACTTCCTAAATCTCGAAGGAGAGACTTCTGGCCTCTTTAGAAATAGCCTTTGACATTGCACCCACAAAACAATGGGCACAAGGAACATACTTGAACGAACAAACCCCCTCCAGTAGCCACTCATAGTGCACAGGGTTGACTTTGCAGCTGCTCAGCATCTAATCACTCTTAGCTGGATATACTGAAGCAAACAAAGGGAAAGAAAATAGTTTCACATGAGCCTATTAAGATGTAGCCAATTTTGGAAAGGAGGCAGAAAACGGTCCAGAGGGAAACGAATGGTGGAACTGTTACGAGTGGTTCAATGAAGACAAACCTCAACCAAAGAGGAAAGCTGTTTGGGCCTCGCAGGTCCTGCCCTCTGATGGGAAAGGTCACCCACACTGAGCCAAGAGTTCCCCGTGGTGACGACCCAGGAAGGCCCCAGGCTTTGTATCCCAGCTAATTGGGAAAACGCAGTAAATTAATTAAAGCAAAAACCACATGGGGGGGGCAGGGAATGAGCTCCTTCGTCAGACACATCGATGCAGGAAATCGTAATCAATTTCCAGCTGTGCTGGAGACATACAAATGGAAAGGATGTTGTGAAGGGAAAGGGCTGAATCAGATCCACCCCAAGCCCTACAGCAGATGCAGAATACAGGCCCGTGCAGCGGTATTTTTATCCAGCAATTGAGGTCTGTTTTCATGTTGCTCTTGTCACTGATGGCTCTATAAGCGGCGCCTGCGGAGATGCTAAGATGTGTCACGCTATTAATTGCACTTTCACTCAGAGAGCTCCTTTCATCTGCCAGCATCCCAAAGCACCTTAAATAGTGACGCACGAGCTACATCAGGGGCTTGCTTCAAGCCCTGGCCCAGGTGGAGCGCCGTGGCCATTTAGCAGTGGGAAGCAACGCGTTGCAGGTGCTTCGGGTGGGGGATGAAGAACACATCTCATTGAAACTGTGCAGGGAACATCAAGTAGAAAGAAGGCGGCTCCCCGAGGAGAACACGAACCCGCACAGCCCTGCCTATCATGGCCCAAAAGCGTTAGGACATCTCTGAAAGACAGTAACCCCGTCATCCACCCCCTTTGCAACACAACCCGAGCTGGTTACAGCGTGACTGAGTGGCTGCTGGGAAGAAGCATGAGAAAAGAAAGGCAAGCACAGTCCCAGGCCAGGTACATCCCATGGAGATAGGGAAGTATCAGTGCCATTGCACGAGGCCTTGGATGCTCCCTGCACCTGGAACATGGCATGCAATTGTGTCCTGTTTCATAGCATCGCAGATGATGAGGGTGGGAAGGGACCTCAGGAGGTCACATCTAGCCCAACCCCCTGCTCCAAGCAGGACCGGGCCCAACTACATCATCCCAGCCAAGGCTTTGTCTCACCAGGTCTTTAAAACCTCCAAGGATGGAGACTCCATCACCACCCTCCTTGTGAGAAAGTTTTTCCTCAATTTCCCTTGCTGCAGCTTGAGCCCATTGCTCCTTGTCCTGTCACCTGCCCTCACTGAGAACAGCCCAGCTCTGTCTTCCTTCAGAGCAGACTCAACCACGGCTCACGACTCAAGCCTTGCTGGCACTTGCTCCCTTCTGCCCAGCTCTGGTAGGAGGAAAGGCAAAGCCTCTTCTCCGAAAGCATCATCCCAGAATAGGCTGCCTGCTGCAGCCGCCTTTGGATCTAGCAGGTGTCTACTACCAAACAGGCCACAACAGGAAGCAAGCTCCAAATTTGACCCAGATGCGTCAGCACTAACCACAGCACCCAGGGCTCTGGGAAGAGTGAGTGGAAAGAAAATTTGGATGACCAAAACCCGTTTTTAAGGCACCAACATGACAGCAGTGTTGGAGCCCATCCCTGTTCAGCACAGCATTTAAGCACCTGCTTCGCTGGATAGGGTGGGATGGTGGGCAGGTGTGGGAGACCCCATCAGATCGCATCAGAGATTGTGTCCTCTCTCCTCCAAATGGAGCCACTTTGGGTAAATGTCCTTCCCCTCGCCCCCCAACCCCAAGGCAGGCTCAGAAGGAGTGGAGGGAGACGTGGGGAGGGACAGCCGATGTCCTGCAATCCCCACATCAAGAATTATTACCTGGCACAGCTTATGAACGATTCACTCTCCACCAGGCCAAGCTGCAGACAACTCGAGTCACTATAAATCCATACTCCAGCTGTGGGGTTTCAAATCAAGTTATTTTTAGATGCATCTTGTCTGTGACATGACACCCTCTCGGGTGATCAAAGCTCAGCTAAACAATTAGGAACTGGAAGATGAAGGGCCCCGACTTCCAGAAAGGACTGATTTTTTTTTGCCAGGGCTCCTTCCCTTTGAATCTGCTCACTTGTTTTTGTGCTATCGCCCCGTGCCCGCTCTGTAGGCATCAACGTGAAGCTGCGCCCACAAAGCCGAGAACTGGAGAGCTCAGCTCTGCCAGCCCGGTTCAACGGGCAGAGCGCAGCCCTTGCACAAATGGCAGATCAGTTGAGTCTCTGTGAAAAATCAGACGCAATAGAAAGCTGAAGAGGGAAAGAGACACCCGCGGCTGAGTCCGCCTTCCAAGTGCCAAAGGCTCCAGAGGTTTCAAAAGTCCAACCAGATGTTGCACGTTGTTGAGCATCTGGCAACAGACGCAGGTTTTAATCTGGTTGTAGGCCACAGGCAGGGCTCCCCCAGCCCTCGATTCACACAAGGATGACGCTGAAAGGGGACCAGGGTTAAGAAATGACTGGTCAGGAGGTGGGAAACCAAAGCATGGGGCAGAAGGGGCAAGTAACAAGCAGGAACCGTCTTGTCCAAGGGGGCAGGACTTCCAGCCCATTGAAAACGCACAGCAAAGCAGGAGGTTTCCAGATGGGCTCAGAGTAGTGTCTGGTTATTTTAAATGTTGACATGGTGAATTGAACTGTGGTTATTAATATATGGGATGGAGAGAAACAGGGTCTACCCTGGAGCAGCTCTGAAAGTCCCTGTATTCACCCAGATCCTCCGTTCCCTGCCCAGTCCTAGTCTTGGGTTTCCAGGCAGTCGGTCCTGCTAGGAAACAGCAATGGGAGGGCAGCTTCCAACAAGAGACGATTCACACCGCTCCTGCAGAAATCACGCCCACAGTTATTTGCTAACAAACATTTTCAACGCAGTGGTGCGGTCCGTGGGAAGTGTTTCCCTAAGGACTTGCAACCTGGCTCTTCCTGCCCTGCGGGTGCTGCGCATGCAAGGGTAGGGGGACATGGATCCAGTCGGGCTTTGCAAGCGCCAGACGCTGCAGCGGTAGGAAGGATGCACCAGAAAGGCCCAAGCAGGAGGGAATGGAGGCCAGTGCAAACACCAGGAGGCAACAGCTGATTTTCCCAGCACCATCTGCACAAGGCAGCAGAGTCTGCTTTACTTCATATGCAGTTTAGTTGCCACAAGCAAGGCAGCAGCTTTGAGCTCCTATTTATCCTTCTCATTAATTTACACATGTATATGAATGAGGTCCAAAAAGGAACAGCAACCTGCCAGGGGTCCCACCATGGGAGGAAGCAGCTCAGCATGGCTTAGACCTCTGACAGCTTCTGTGTCTCCACCCTTTGCTCAAATTCAACTTTGCTGGTAAAGGGGCAATGGCGCAGGGCACCTGCTTACAGATGCCAAAAGGGGGCAGACTGCCCAGCACTTCCAAAAGCTTCTCCTGCGGTGGCTTCCAGGATGTGCTCGTCCCTGGCCGGCACTTTCCCCATCGTCCTCTTCCTGGGAACGAGGTTGTCTCCGTGCCCGAACCCTGCAGCCTGGGGAGGGGTGCGCACGCAGGGCGCGGCAGCTGGGGTGCCTGGGGATGTTTCTCGCTGAAAACAAACAGTAACTTAGCAGTTGTCGTAGAGGATTCGAACCCGCACCGCGGACACTGCACCTTTGGGGGTTACCATGGTAACTGTTTTCACCAAGACCCAGCTAACCCCGTGTCAATTCATCTTCGGGAGCTGTCTGCAGCCAAGTGGGTTCCTCGCGCGGCTGTGTTTCGCGGAGGCCTGCGGTCTGCACGCACAGAAACTCCCGTGTTAGCAGACGAGCTTGCTCCGCGCGGCATCGTGCCAAGCCGCAGACTGCTCCGGGTATCCGCACGGCCTGCCCCGGCTTCTCCGCCAAAACCACTAGCCTGATTCCTCCCACTTTGTCAAGAAGGTGTCAGAGCCAGTCCCCAACCAGAGCAGTTTAGGGAGTGTGAGACAGGGACTGAGTGACATGCCTTGTGCAGTGCAGATGCCTGGTACAGCCCACCCCAATGTCCGTGCGGCAGCTGGGAGGGGCCCTCAAGGACCTCACCCTCCCACGGGCCAAAGCGGGGTTACTGGGGAGGTCTGTCTTCTCCCACAGCCCTGCACAATCTTTCCAATCCCAACCCTGAGCGTTTTGGCCCCAGCATGCACAGCCTGCCAAGTCCCAAATGCAGCATGACCCTGCAAGGGGCTCCTGCTCCAGCATCTGCTGCCAGTCCAAAAGCTCTTCCTCGCTCCCCTTCATCAGCTAGCTCCCTGGCCTTTCCCACTGCAGGAAATCCCTCACTGCCCAGTGCGGGGATGTCTCTTCTGAATGCCTCTGCCTGCCCAGCTCAGAGACATCCGAGCTGCAAGGGCTTGTAGGGTCTGCCCTGCACACCTGATGGAGCCATGAAGACCCCGTCCCTTCTGCTTAAACCGTGCTAAAGCCTGAGATATGCCTAGCACTGGCACAACCTACACCTCTCAATGCCCTTGTACTCACCATGCAAACAACCCCTCGCACATTCGCAGTGCAGGGTTTGCCTTGGGGAGATGATTAGTGACATTTGCTCGCACTCCACCTGCATCTTTCACCAATGCAAAACCATCGCCAGTCAGCGATGGGGAAACCAAGACCAAGTCCCTTGTCTGGTGTCACACTGTGAGTCATTGACACAAGCAGAAATCGAACCCAGATCCTTCCTGACGGTCACGACAAGGACGACCTGACCATGGGACACTTCTGCCTGTCTTTTTTATTAACCATTTATTGTCTGTAATCATTTTACTCTCACGTTGCAATCGCATGGTTTATTTAATCTTTTTTTATAGCTTTTTTCTTTTTGTAAAATAAATAGAGATAAGTGAACTTTTAGGTAGGATACTCTCCAGATCCTTGGTTAACTTCATGATTGAATTTCTGCATCAGACCTGTAAAAACAGCCCACACACACGCACACGCTTAGATGAAAGCTAAACAGGCCGAGTCAGTTAAAAACCATGTTTCCTGGCTGTGCAGGCTGGGGGCGGGGGCGGGGGGCACTCAGGGAATGCTGGTGTGAAGGAAAAGCAGCTTCCCACAATGCACCTTTGCATTTTGCCAGGTACTTCTTGTTCTTTAAACAAATACACTGATACAGGTTAAAAATCTATGGGTTTTTTTTAAGCTGTGTACGTTAATCAGTTAATTGGAGATCCCCAACTCTTGGTTCAACACTTGCCAGCAAGCCCGTCATCGGCCATTCCCTGAGCTCAGTGCCATACACAGAGGGACAAGGTGCGGTCATCAGAGGTTCAAGAACGCGTACCAGTGCTGTCGATCACCGGCCACGTACATCTGTGTATAACAGCAGCTCAATGGGCCACCAAGAGGCATGACTATTGGTAGCCCATGTATCAGAAAAATGGATTTTTAGGTAGGTTTCCTCATTGAGGGTTTGCTATAGTGTCCCTGCAAGGTGGCCTGCAGCCATTTCTAGTGTAGAGAAGAATACACTTGTGCTCAAAGATGGGAGCAGCACATTGCTTTGGCCTCTGCCTCAGTTTCAGCAGCTCAAGGAACCCTGTTAACGGAGCGCGTTGAGATCTGCCTACGAAGCTCTGCTATTTGGACTGTCGCCTTAGTACCCAACGGTCAATCTGGAGACTGCTGTGCAGCCCGACTGCCCGGGTACCAGACGCTGCCTCCAGGAAGGAGATGAGCTGGCTTGTCACGACCGGCGACGATGCCAGGAACCCCCAGCTGGGTTCTGCTGGCGAGGCGAAGCTGGTGTCCGCAAGGCGAGGGATCGGTATTGTTCTTCTCATGAATGCTAGCATCATCCTTGGCCTCGTCAGCAGCAGGAGTTTTTTGGGGCCTCTGCTCCCCAGCAAGGATGGTGACAGCAGCCAGAAGCAGCACTGCATGAGTCCTCTACATTGGGATAGTTTAGCATTGTCCTTGTGGTTATTTTTGCAGGGGGGGAAAGCGGGGGCAGTGGTCTCCTTGCCTGGTTTAGTCGCACCTAGACCATATGTGATGGGAAAATCTTCCCTTGGTCATGGCTGCCTCTTTCCAAACACTGATCTCCAGATGCGTTGTGGATTACGAGGGACAGAAGCATTTGTTACACGCAGGCATGGAAAGGGTGGGAGGTCTGATCGTAGCCTTCCCCAGAGGACAGGGGCAGGCACCGGGGAGAACAAGCTACTGCTTGCCCTCTCTCCCTGTGGGACAGCAGCACTTCTCTTGTGATTATAACACACGTGCCCATGCCCAGGTGCGTACATGCACACCGGGACAGCAGTGCACACCAATCTGCCCCAACTCCTACAGAAACACGCACGTATAGTCAGATGCACATGACCAGGCGTGCATTTGGATGCACACAAATATGCAGCTGGACCCATGCAGTCACATGTCTAAGCATCCATGTCTGTTAGCTAGTGGAATATTAGCACGTCTGAGTGAGATGAAAGCCTGTGGTTTAAGGCAGTGGTAAAATGAGTCTGGAGCCTCCTCGCTGCCTGTGCAGCGCTCTGAGGTTGTCTCGTGCATCAGTGGAGTTTGTCATGGGTAAAAGGACTGTGATTACCAGAAGAGTGGAGTGAAGGAGACAGAAAGGACTCTTGCCCCTTCCCCTCAATCCCATGGGTGTGTGCTCATTAATATGGAGCTCCACTGGTGACTCTGCAGTTTCCTCAGTGTCCTAAGGATGTCACCCATTTCCCATCCATTCTCTCAGCTCCCGAAAACCCCCTGCCCTCCGAGCCCTGCTCCTCTTTGCTGCCAGGCAGATTCTTCTGCTTGCTTCGTCTGTGTCCTCCCTGAGCGGGAGCAGCAGGGGTTGTCTGCATGCAGGGCCGAACGTTTCCTCTTTCCCTTCTCTCTCTCATGAACACAGATCACTCAAGAACAGGTGTTAATAGTCTGCAGGCGACCGACTGGGCTCCACCTGCCTGCCAGAAGGGCTCCTGTTCGGCACAGGGCAGATGGCAGCTGGAGAGGTCTCAGGACCGAGTCAGAATGCAAAGAGCAGCAAGCAAGTCTTGACTTCATTTCTTAAGCAATCTACAGTCCAGCAGAACAAAGGAACAAAAACTAGAGTAAAAAGCCCCTCACGAGGGTATTGTCTCCTCCTGTCTGGCCGTGCCTGGAAAGCTGTGTTTCTAACAGAGAAGCAACCACCAAAACCTGAAGTAAACATTCCTGTTTTGTAGTTGTGAGACAACAGAGCTGAAAAGAAAATAGAAGATTGTCTCTCTTGCCCCCCCTCTCAAAATCATTCAGTAGCTAAGTCAGAAGGAAAAAAATGTGTTCAAGTCATGGGTTGCAGCAGCAGCCAACACTAAACATTCAAGTCGATAGTTTCACTATGTACAATACGGATGAGAGGTGGCCCTGCCTGGTGGGGCTCCCCTCTCTCCAACCAGGCTGCCGTGTGCTGTTATCTGATCCGCTTCTCCACCGAGTACACTGAGATGTAGTAGTCATTGCTGCCGACTGCCAGGTGAGGCTGTGAGGGAGAGCAAATCAGGGATCAACAGGCAGGAGTTGTGCAAATACAGAGAAGTAAAGTGTAGTCAAGGGTGGGGGGCGGTACTTTCAGCAGTGCTGCCCCGATACCAGGGAACATCCTGCCGTACCTGCCAATGTAGCTATGTTTCTGATGCTGCCCAGCCAGCTGGATCTGTCACAGGGAAAACTATGGCTGCCACTAGCTGCCAAATTCTAGCATCATTCTTCTAAATTACTAAAGATGTTCCTATTAGCAACGATCCCCTGGACTGAATACCACTGCGCTATCTACTGAGGGCCCTAGGAGCCAGGCCAGGCTTTGAACAAGATCAGTGCTAAAGGGCGGCTTTGTCAGCTTGCTGTAAAAGCAGACAATTTCAGGATAGTCAGCTTCCTCCCATACCCAGAACCCAAGGGCAGCAAATCATTAAGGGTTTGGCAGAAGTGTCCCAAGCAACAAGGGAGACCAAGAGTATTCTGCTATTGCTTCATGGACATGGGAGCACCACGCAGTTTGGCACCACTGGCTATATCTGCACAGGATAGGCGAGATCTGGAACAAAACCATAATGCACTGATAGGGTACGGAAGCCAGTGGGGAGGTTGAGGACTCAGGTGGCATTTAGAGAACTGCGTTGAGCAAAATTGTCTTTAGAGACTGTATAACTGGCCCCTCTCCCCCACTCCCAATTGCCAAAAATATTCCAGAGTTTAAAAAGCAGATACAGACCCAGTGAGGATGGAAAGCCAGGCAGCTGATGGCTCCAACTCTTTGTCCCATAAATCCATCATAGTATTTGATATTGTTGATCAGCTCACCGTTCCCATTGTAGATTGCAGTGAACTGATTCATGGAGCCGCTGGAAAGCAAGAGAGAACGCAGTGTACTGACACTGCCAACTAGACACAAAGCTTTGCTCTATTCCCTGCCTCTTGGCTACAGAGTTGGTTATAAAATAACCGTGTGCACTGCGAGTACTCAGAAGCAGGGAGATTGGTTTTAATTCACACCATGACGGCCTCAGTACGAAGGAAAGATTTACAGACAGATCGTAACAGAGCACTGACTGATCTGTTATACACCAGGGACATGACAGAAAATAGGAAGTCATGGCAAGTGCACACTCATGGAAAATAGATGCTCCCAACTCAGGACCCCTTCTTAGAGCCCAACTGTATGGCATGCTGCCTTTGGGTAGGAAGTCCAACACACAAGTGGCAGCACCGGCCCCCGTAACTTTGAGTCACCAGTGCAAAAGCTCTATGAAAGCATGCAAGGGTTAAAATACCTGAGCTGCGCCCATGGGAATGAAGCCGTACTGTTCATGGCAAAGGGGGAGAAAAGGTATTTGTAAGGATGGGTTCCTTCTCTCATCCTCCCGCAGGGCAGGTGGCAAGAGGCTACTACCTACCAGGCAAAGAGATTGGCCTGCGGGTGAATGTCCAGGGCAGTCAGCCCTTTGACTATCTGCAGGACCCTCACAGACTCCGGCATCCTGGGGTCGAAGAAACGAACATCACCGTTCACGCTGTCAACAGAGCAGTTTTCACATTAGATTTTGCCCCAAAGCTGGGAGCAAGTCCTGTAGCCCAGGAGAGCAGGGATGTCAACTGAGCACCACACTCACGGGAGGGCTACATCAAAGATGACCTTCACCTCAGCATCGCCCACCCTGCCGGCATCGTTACCACCTGATCCACCCCACCACCACTCGATTTTCAGCAGCATCCAAAATGTACCGGGTGCTATGTAAACAAGGGAAAGCACTGGCCCTGCCCAAGACAGCTCTATTCATACACCCTACATCACCCCACTATCGCCAGGCTAGGAGTGCCTTCCCTGGCATACCACATGCCACACAGCAAGCATGGCAGACCGAGTCTCTTCTCTGTCTTTTGGATGTGAGCGGCTTGTTTCATCAGGAGTCACTAATCACATGGGCTCCTATGATTCCCCCATTACACCAGTCGCCTGGACTTGGGCCCATAAGCCGCTGCTGTTCAGAGCCCCTGCCGGAGCAGCCGTAAGCACACTGATTATGTCTGAGCTATGTGCCAATCCTTCAATGACTTGACTTAGGAGGGGGGAGCACGTGGGGATGTGGGTAGCAGCACTGGGAAGATGCTGTGCTAACCAGGTAGAGCAGCTTTCAAAGACAGAATGGGCTGCCGGACAAAGGGAGCACTTGGAAGCACACCACTAGGTTTAAGCCTGCCGGTGCTGAAGAGGATGCATCTTGTTCTTCCCTTCGTCCACACCCAGCAACAATACTCCTGCGCCTGAAGAGCTCTTCTTCTGTGCCTTTCTGAGGGGATTTGTCCATTAATCTTGTGAAGGGGAGAAGACAGTCAGCAAGAGTCTCCCAGGGAGGCTCTGTATCTGTCTGTCCTCTTTTTGTCCCAAGCCAGAAGTCAGCCGCCTGCCTCTATAAAATGCCCTTTCTTCCCCCGCAGAGATCGCAGGCAGCTGTAATGCAAACCGCGGCACTAGCGAGAACGCTTCCTTTGACTACTAGAAAGTCCCAGTTGGAGGAGACTAAATAACAATCACTGCACAGATTACTCGCCTAATTACAGGAAGCTGCAGCTCTCATCGTCACAAACTTAAATTCAGGACAAAGTCATCTGCAGACGTATTTGGATCTTAAAGAACAATGGTTTCAAACGGGTCAAACAAACGCAATGCAGCACGTTCATTCAGAGCCTACAATATCAATAGGACAATTTAAAACTAAGCTGTACTTGAGTGGAAAACACTGACAGTTTCCAAATGGGAGTAAGGGTTTCTGCTCTCGCACGGCACGGGGAGGAATGTGTCTTGGAGAGCCTGCATCCAAGTTTCCCCGCAGTTCGTGCTTCAGAAGTCAGCTACAACAATCTGGGGTGCTTACGGCACTGCTGGCAATGCAGCAGATGGTGTCCCTCTAGTAAAGTGCAGGTGGTCTGGCACAGACAAAATGGCAGGGCACCACGTGGACATCTGCAACTCGGGAAGAAGGAGGTGGCAACAGCACATCACCCAGGAAGGGGCTCTGAGACCACGACCAGAATTTAGGGTTTCTGGCTGGTTTCAGTTAATAAAAGGATGAATCCTCCCATACTTGATGCCTTGCAGGCAATCGGCTGGAGACAACGTAGCTTCAGAAGCAGAGAAAAAGCCACCACCTGCATGAGAGTGAGAACGCAGCTCGTATTCCCTAAGGGCTGATCCCAGGGGAAGAGGCAGGTGCAGAGAGAACAGGCCCTGGATACAACCCAACATGGTGTGGCGGCAACAAGGAAGATTTATGGCTGCTCTGACCCAGTAAAACAGTCAGAGTAGTGAGCAGTGAGATAGGCATGGATACCCCATCCTGAAGCCTCATCTGAGCATCCATCAGAAGGTCCTAACCTTGCTATGAAGATATTAGACTGCACTGAGTCACGCTGCTGGCAGGCTTAGTGACACCAACAGAGACAGAGACCCTGAATCAGACGTCATTAGGCAGATGCTGAATCATGGTGTTGAGTAAATGTGAATGAACCTTTCCAATAAGGTCGCCCAGCAGGAATCCTTTAGGGAACATTAACCCAAGGAATGAGATTCAGAGATGGGAGGAAAATTAAAAACTTCCTCTGTTGGTGCTTGCTTGTTGAGGTGAGGTTTGTCAAAGTTCACTCAATCTATGAGCAATCCTGAAACTTGACCCCCGACTTGCTATCACCAGTTCACAGCATACTTTTCCCACCAGGAGGAAGCAAGTCCCAGGCCCAGGTGCCTGCTCCTACTTTGCGCAGGACTCCTTGGGTCTTTAGGGTTGAGGTTTGGGAACAGCCTTCCAGAGCAGACTGCCAGAGGATGGGCTGACAGAAAAAAAATTCAGTCTTGGCTCGAACACTTGGCTCAGCCTGGCCACACCAAGGAGCAGATGGCCACCCTGCACCTAGGTTTCATGACCCCCTGAGCTCTAAGCGTGTTTTGCTGGTGCTCGGGTCAAAATGGCCAATTCTGGGTTAGGAGCTCATTCCCTCATGCCATTGGATGCAGGGTAGAGATCACTCCTGGATTCAGCTGGGTACTTCCTGCAAGGGTCTGGAAATAGCTGTATCCAAACCAGCTGCTGGAGAGAAGCCCTTTATGTTTAGCATGGACTGAAAGATTGAAGTCCAGTGTCTTTGGGATGGGGAGAAAGGTTTGGGGGGGGGGGG